GACGGTCCATTTAAAAATTATTTTTCGAATATAACATAAAAATGTAATATCCTTGGTTTCATTAGAAGAGAAATTTATGAAGTAATTATAAAATGGCAATTAAATACAGAAACACTTAAGGTAAAAAATAGCACATTGCGAATAAGGTTTGAATATTAAATTAATAACTGAGAATTGATAATTAATTGATAATAATGAAAATTCAATGAATAATTTAATATAAAAACGTGTGGAAGTGTCTTCCGGCAGAATGGGTTTACACCTAGATGACTTGCGTAATTTTATATATCTACTTTTCTATACCTAACAGGAAATTGTCCATAGAACGTTCAAAGCATAATCGGTATCAACTGGGACGTACAAAAAGATGAAGGATGATATTGAAGCATGAAAATCAGAAATAGTTGACGGCGGTCATCAAAATGTTAAGAGATACTGAACGTCAGCATGTACTTCGTCAAAATAACGACTCGAGACTGAGGGTCGAGCTTTTAATCGCCGTGAAAAATGTACGCTACCGGTTAAGGGTTAACACTTCGTTATACAACAGTGGGGAGTCATCCATCTTGCGTAGCGAATGTATTTTCTTCCCATTTGAGGCTACAAAAAGAAGCGGGAACGCGAAGGATGCAAGTGTAACACACGCGTGCATCCGCGGCAGGCGTCGTAACCGGCATAAGTACGGGAATTCGCGTACAGGCCTATAAAAGTCTGAGCAACGTTTAACTGCGGCGTCCCTAACATAAACTAAGGACTATATTGCTTATATAATGCAGAAATATACCGTAGCTAAAGCGATGCAATGCTTTTATACCGTCTCGAACCGACCGACCGACTCGCATGACTTTCCTCAGCTAAAATTTTCTTCTTTTTCCCTTTGCCTCTTACCTTCCTCTACTATTCGAACCCTCCTCTTTCTTCGCCTTCCTTATTTCTCCTGATCCATCTCGTTTTACCACTTACCATCGCTCCAGTTTCCTGTTTTTATATTCGTTAATCCGTTTGCATGCACTTCTTATCTGGTTATGTAGCTAAATACGTATTTCTATGCTATTCAGATCTTTATCTGTCTATTCATTTACTCGAAACCGTCTTTCTCTTACCTATCCGTTCGAATACGAGATGTTTACTTTCATGAATACTAATTTATTTCATTATCTTCGGTTTTTAAGTTCGTTTAATTAAGAGATTAAGATATACTCGGTGCAGCAAGTGAACATTGGGAGGAAATTTTAATATTTTCGTTCGATTCGAATTCGAAAATTTTGTTCAATGCACTTGCGGAACTTTGAAGTAACATATTCAATTTTTTTATCGTAAATCAAAAACATATTTCTTCAATTTTTTAAATATTTTTGGTACACCCTGTATAGAACATGAATCAGTTGGAAATTGCAAATTTTAGAACGAAGGAAACGCAGAACTATGTTATAAAATTTGTTGAATTTATTTATTTCTAGTCACTGTTTCCACAGGATGAGCGAAAACAGGTATCGAACAAAAAAACAAATTGAAATAAGGAAGTTATCATGCACCAATCGTGAAATTCAAAGTGACTGACAGCGGTTGTTTTATAGGCGTTATTGGAATAGTCATAAACATTTGAATTTAATAACGCCTAGCGTTGAAATTATTGCATGCACGGATATCTAAACGATGATTATCATTAAATTTAATTAAACTTTCCATTCGTACACAATTTTGATGATGAACATTTATTACTTAGCTTTTCTGCTATTCAAGGGATTTCAATTTAATTATTCTTCTATAGAATTAGCATATCATTACATAGTTCAATGTCTAATGAATAGTAAAGAAGAAGCGTCATCAATTACATTATTTATAAAGAAAATTACTGTTTCGTTTCATCGTCGAGGCTCTAAGAAAATTATTAAATTACTTATTTACGATTGAAAAGAGAACTTAAATTTTCATTTTGATTAAAATTTTATGCAAATATTACAATTATTTTATAAGAACAAGAAGTACGTAACTTACGGACGAATCTTCAATTGACCCTGGAAAAACTTTTTTCTTTTCCTGTGCTATTTCAAAAGAAGCTGTTTCACCTATGATTCCTAATTTGTTACATTTAAACAAATCATTCGAACGTCAGCTAACAATCTTGAATTATGTTCCCGCACGCGAACTACTGAGGAACGATTCTTTGTTTTTAAGAAAACAGATTAGCAAGAATTGATCGCGTGCATAGGACCTTCTGCCAAATGGAAGAATGTCCAAGCTTGCCATAATAACGGTGTGTGATCCTTTAGCGGAAACGAAGTCGGAGAACTGACAATTCGAACGACTTTGACGTGGTTCCTCTTATTTCGAAAATGACAACGTTCGTGGATTCTGGCTGTGAGTCTGAAATAAGCAGTGCTTCTTTTTGGTAATATTAATGCTTTAGGAGAAACGTTATTACTCGGTCAGAGAACCGCAACGAGTTAATACAGAAATAAGGTAGGTGTGCAGAATTTGAAAATAAAAAGAAATTATACAACTCTCTAGAAATGAGAACGTATAGTGAAATTGTGCACATTTATCTTTCATTTATATTTTAAAAGACTGAAATAAGAATAAATTTCATTAATTTTCACAACTCAAACAATAAGACAAGTAGTTGAGAAGTAGTCAGAAGAAAGAAGACAAGTTCTCCAGCATATTTTGCTATTCAAACCGATGTGTCTCGGATAATCTGCATAAGTCGTTCAATCGTACAGTGTCATCCAGTTCGCGCCACCTTTTTTTACACCGAACATGAGCCTCGATGGATAAAATGTAACCGGTATATTTACTTACGTCTCTTTTCTTTCTGTAACTTCTCATACTTGTCTGTCTTCTTAAGCTACATCTGAACTAGTGAAATAAATACTGGTAACACACTTTCGATGGTTATCGAATGAATATTCCAATAATAACGTTCATTTAATCCTTAGATATTACTACTAAACACAGACAAAACAATCATCTTAACGTTCCACTGAGGATTTTTCAATGAGACCTTTTTCTCTTTATAGTTCTTCAGATAAACGCTCTTATTTTTTGCTTACGATCAGTAGTAATCCTTGAATCAGGTCAAACACTCGAGGCTCTTTGTATGCAAAAATAATATAATCTATTTTTGAATGAATATACGCGGTGGCAAGGAATTTTCAATAAAAAAATTCCTTTGTAATTTAAAAAAAAAAATAGAAATAGAAAATAATTGAGAAAATGGACTTACTTTCTTAAGATAAATATAATAATTTTATCCATGTAACAATTATTGATTAATCCATTATTTGTTTTAATGAAAAATGAGTAATAAAACATTTATGTAGTTATTTTCTTCAAACTTTAAATTTCAAATTGATAATTCATAAATACTGTTTTATAATACTTTCGTGTGATAAAATGGTGTTGGAATTTTATTGAATATAGTATTTTTATTATCATATATGTTCGTTTGTGAATTACTGAAAAAAAAAGATACATCAATGAAATTAATTGATACAAGCAGGTAGATTGTACGAAGTGGGTGCAATATGATTCCTTATAACTTTTTCATCTCTTCTATCTTCTCGTCTCCTGTTTCATTTCGCTTTGACTACCGTTCTGGTCACTTTTATGTGAGACGTAACAAGTTGTAAAAACGAAACTGTCGCCGGATGGCGTTGTAAAATCCTCGTTATGTTCAACCACTCGTACGTGTCTTTCTTTACATCTACGTATAAACATAGGAGATACGGAGAACAGAAGGGAATGGGAAAGAATCTGAAATCGACATTTGCCATTTTATGCGATGCCAATCCTCTAAATATAACTTTTAACCCCTTCACGCCTCTGGAAACTGTACTTGAAATTGCATAGAAAAGTGTCCTAAATCATCAGAGTATTTATTAGAAAATGAGATTTATCTCTAATCAAATATAAATTATATCAATTTTTTCAATCGCCCTTGTGTTCTTAAAATAAATTTCAAATGCTGAAGCTGTGCAAAGAAACTATAACTAGTTCCAGAAGAAACCATTAATCAACCTGTTCGTCTTTGGGAAAAGAAATCATTAGAATTTTTAGAATAGCCGACATATATCCTTGAAATTTCAATGACCCAAGAACTTGCAGTTCATGCTTTCAGGTATAAAGCGGAACCCTTTTGGAGAAACTGATGCGGTATCGGTGCCCCATCGATTGGGTCGAAAAATGAAGAAACTACTAATTTTAAATTTGTAAAGCCCTTCCAGAATACATGTTTTATAAATTAAGATCGCAATAATTTTTTAGCCTAACGCTGGATTAAGGTAGGCTACGTTATAAGCCTTCCATTTACTATGTCAAAAAATATTTTTTGTATCGTTGTTCTTTTTTCTTAGCAATTGAACGTTATTTTATTTAGAATCAATTTCAATTTTTAAAGCAAGTTTATTAACTAGAAGAGCCTCCAAAGGCCCGATAGCTCCGGGGTTCCAGAAATCTTAATCCACTCCTGTCTTGGCCAAAGGGGATACGTACTTGTTTCCGGTTTTCATAGCACACCCCCAGTCGTCGTTTCCTGGTTCTGCACCTTAATTTCGATCGAATCCTTCGTAAGCAAGGAACGCCTCTTCGCACGATCTGCAATTGCGTCCAGGTCAAAGGCTTTCGAGTGACATTGATGGTCTGGACACCGATTAAGCGGAAGCTCGAAATTGAAGGATAGTAACCCGTCTCTTTGTCAACCGTTTACGATAAGTATATAGCATGAAACATTTGATATATTATTAAACACAAGAAAATTCGTGGGCGACAAAATTACAGAAGGTGCATGAATTGCATCGTGTGAAACGTCATATTCCACTCGCGACTGGACATTTCTTTTGTTCTTTTTTTTTTTTTTTTCTTTAGAAACAGGGGTACAATCTCATTTCAAGCTGTTTCGTCGATTGGATGACAAATTTTTCAATGTATCTGAGTAAATTGTTTAAATTATTTAAATTTGTACACAAAGATGTAAGGTATTTTAAAAGAAATACATTAAATAACATATTGAAGTTTATATCTTATTACATTACCCATAAGTACAAATAAAGAATGGAATAAAATAAATGGCTTAAATTTGCTTAATTAACATTCGATTACGAGCGTATGAATCACGATGTATCTTCGAAACGAATATTTCCGCAAAGCTGTACGAATAAATTCGGTAGAAACATATTTTTATTGCACACTTTTAATTTAGTCTCATTCATTTCTCCTCTTTTAAAAGTATCGCTGCCCTTCGGGTAACACCATTAGTCAATTTTTAGTACGTTGAAATTCGACATAACGCTATTGCATATTATATATTTTTTCTGCTTTTCCTATAATTTGTAGTTTAAACTGCTTATGCTTTACTATCCGTCGCTACAGAAGAAATACAAACTGATAATTGAACATCTTAATCGATTAATAAATACACATCTTTCGCGATACAAACATTCAAGTTTCAAGTAGAAGGAACTACACCTTTGTTCAGAAAAATTTAACAAACATCTATATACGTAACAATGCTATAATTTTAAAAATATTAAATTTCGCTGTACAGTTGGTTTAATTATTCATCGAAACAACAATAGAAATCGTTACTTATACAAACATAAAAGGAAACGAAAAAATTCATCGTAACAAAAGAAAATTTTATTTTCAATAAAATTTAACGGGAGGAAAGAAAAATAATATTTCGAATTCCTGTCAAGTGTCACGAAGAATTTTTCTTTTACTCTTTTTCACGAAATCATATTCGCATTCGTAAGCGTCGCACTTTCTAACCAAGGAACTTAAACGAATAAAAAATCGACGCCATGCTAATCGCTCACGCTATCCCCTGAACGTACCATGTGTGCCAAGAATTCTTATTTATCGTTATCAATATAATACCTCACCGAATAAAACGATTTCTCTTCCGGCAAATTGCATCCATCGGAATCACTGTCTGTAATTCATTTATTATTTCGTTGTACCACTTACGGTACACCGGTCCCACTTCTCTCTCGCTATCTACATCGTGATACTCTACGTTTCCTTTTTTATTTTTGTTTGTTTTTTAATCCTGCATGAACGTGCGTGACTAAAGACAAAAATGGCCACAATGTCCAACAAGGTATCCACCAGGTGCAGTGACCCTTTTTGCTTCGGATGGTTGGCCAAAGGGCCGCGGACAAAACGAAACCGAGACGACGAGCATCAGTTTGTAAATAAAATCCTGTTATTGCAAATTAAGCGGTGAGAGACCGGGCCACGGGTAATGATAAATATTGGAGGCACGCATGCTCATTATCGGGAAGCAAATTCATTTAAACGGGTCGAGTCATTAAGCTCGGTACGGTAATAACCAATCAGGCTTCGCATCAAATTGTTACTCGGAACGTGTTCCCGCTGTACGAAAAGAGGGAAGAAAAAAAGAAAAAGGGGAAAGAGGAACGAGCAGGAGGAAGGGAGGAGAGCGGCAACGTGGAGAGAGAGAGAGAGAAAAAAAAGAGGAGGAGCTCGGAAACAGGGGGGAGAAAAAAAGGGGCGAAAGAATAAAACAGCCCTCGATATTCTTATTTGAAAATTAATTTGCCGCGAGATGGAATGACCAGTTTTTGAGCGGCCGTTTTATTGCATTTCGGTCATACAACTGACGTATCCGTCGATTTCTTGATCACATCCTATCGACACGGATCTACTTTTTATTAAACGACACCATTTTCTCTTTTATGTTCAACGAACAGTAGCTTTGTACTCTCAATTGTTTTCTGTAATGTGATGTGTATTCGATCGAGATGTAACCCTTTCGCTGCGTAAGCTCCCAGGAAAAATTATGATATCTTAAGATAGATTTTTATTAATTACAAATTAAACGTTAGTTAACAAGAGAATTTCAATTTACGTCTTTACTGATAGATAGTTTCCTACTTTTAGAATTTATAAAACACACCTTGGAGATTTATTATGGATGGTTACATGATTTTATAGCAAAATAAAATTGCAGAATTTTATTTTAAATTTAAAATCCAAAGGACCTCCCTCTGTTTATTATTAAAAATAATCTTTATTAATCATATGCTATCATTTTGAAATCCATTCCTAATTTTTGCATCATCCTGTAAGTACATACATATCGTCGAAGATACACATAATCTATGCAGAATTAGTTATCGAGCGATGAAATGAAGATGTACCTCAAGAGCATCACTACATATAAGTAATAAAGATTAAATTGTAATGATACTTTATAACAGATGCAGCAGGGAAAAGGTTAAAATTGATTACACGTCAAGGAGAGAAGCGTGTTTAATTCGAGTGAAAAACTGAATTTCTATCCAAGCTGTGTAGACAGACCATAAACCTCCTGGAAAACACGTTTTTTGATCCAAGTTGCATTAACTTTAATTCACCTATTAGCCAAATCGGCTATGCCAGGACAGGTGTGCGACTAGTTTCATATGAATATAAGTAATAAAGCAACGTTGCAAATTGACAAGAATAAAAACCAGCCGGACGTTCGCCCGAGAATGAAATTTCAATATATTACAGGAGAGCCGGGTCTCGAATCTCTTCCATGGCTGTTAAACCAGAAGTCTTTTCGATTACCTTTGCCACCTAAATCACACGATTTGTCGCTTCCACGGTACAGTAATGCGTTCGTATGAACACAAACCTCCTTTCGATTATATACGAGGCTCGTCGACGCCCTTAGAGTGGCAAAATATTGATCGGGATCATCAATGGGATCCAGTTTCGAAATTTGTTTGACAGGAAGGGGTAGAAAATGAGCCCGGTCTCGTGGAACCGCGGCCATCAATGGTGGCCATCGCGCCTCCTGAATCCCATATAGGCTTTCCTGTACAAAGTTACCTATAAGCCAGAGGACATTGGCTGAATCTTGTATGCGAAATATACCGTACGCGATCGGTGCTCGATCATCGTGAAAACCGTGAAGTGATCGGCGTTTTACGACTGGATTCTGGTAACCGGTCGGCGAGGCGCATCTTTTGCAACTGTACACCGACGAGCAAAGAGGACTTCCTAAAAGAAAATGGCGATATAAGTAAAGGAGACCATAGAATCGTGAAAATTCAGAAAATTTTCAAAATTCAAATATCTGAAGAGTGAAATAAAATTTTCTAAAGGTGGTAAGGGTCTCCTTCGGACCAGTGCCACTTGCCCCAAGGAAGCTCCCCGTGCCCGGCGCTGTACGAAGCGGCTCCAAACGCGTGTCCTGTTCCCCTATCTTGACAACGTCGATCCGTGCTCTACAGAGCGAATATTTAACGCGAAAAAAAGAAGATCGATTTGAAAGATATATAGAGAGAGAGAAGACAAAAGAGAGAGGTGGGGAGACAGATTCGATCAACGAACCGAAGGACGTGCAAGGACGAGGGATGCCCGAGGTGTACGTTGTCCGTGAACCCCACGGCATCCCACGAACCACTCACAAAAACGTTTCATGATTTTCTTGTTCTCTTGGTCAGCGAAAGAAAAAGAAAGAAAAAAAAAAAAGAAAAAATAAAAAAACATCCTAAAGAAGAGAGAAATAACGCGAAGAAGTCTATGCTGAATACAACGTACCCTCTCTCTCTTTCTTTCTCTCTGCCTCTTTCTTTCTCTCTCACGATTTGTTTGCGGCTGGATCCCTTCGTGTTCGAAACATGAGCACGAATCGCGACGTTGTTGCCCGAACGAAGACAACCTTGAGACACCGATTCCTTCTCGTCGATAGCCTGTAAACTCGTGTTCCTCTCGGAACAGGCCACTTTCGAGCCAAGTGTCTCGTCTCAGGAAGAGGAGCTTCAGTACCGTTCGTGATCGTCTTCCGCCGGATGGAGAATCGTCGATTGAATCGAGTAACCTGTGTACCCCTCGAGGCTACCACCGAGGGGTGAAATAACAATACACGGTTCCGGTTGAATCGGAAATTTCCTAATGGTATACGAAAATGATGGTTGATGCTAAGATTCGAACTGTTCGGGGAACAACGAGAGCGAACGAAATAATACTGAGAAGTAACGTTTCTTTTCCTTTCTGTATACCGATTCCTCTTCTACCAGGGCCCCTCCTATTTCCTTCTCTTTAACACGACGTCGTTTCTCTTTGGATTCGACCTGTTCTTCCAGTCGCTTTACTTCACCGACTGGTCGGTAATCGATCTGAAATCAGAAAAAACATTGGCCTGCGGTTAGCGATGTGTTACATTCGGTGCACTGGTTCTTGGCAATCGGAAAATGAAGGATCACATTGTTCGATCGAGATGACTGCGGTATAATGGGAACCTTCTGGTAATAATGGTTTGCGGTACACGTGCAGGGGAAGATGTGTTCATTTTAGCACTCTATTATTCATAGGAACTTACAAATCTAATGGGGATTCATAAGAATTGTATGCTAAATAGTTTAAGTATCCTTTTGTAAATTGGCTTTTGATATTTTAGAATTTAATGATAATTGATTCTTGGAGGCTGGGTCAATCATGGCCTAAATTTGCCAAATATTTACAAGGATATTAATCTAAAGTTAAATGTATAAATTTCAATAATTATATTATTTGTTATAGAAAACGAGAAGAAAAATTATTACGTGAAATCAAAGGCGTCAACCAATTAAACAGGAAACTTATGTTTCTGAAAACATAAAAGCACAGATGTACCCTAGTGACCTATCATCATCCCTTTCAAATCATCCAGTATCGTGACTCGAAAGCGAAGAAGACAAAGAAGAAGGAACGCGAGACGCTGGATGGACAGGTAAACGTTTCGTAAAAAACGTCATTAAGAAGTGGCGTGGGCCAGAAAACGATCGGTAATGACATCCTATTAAGCGAGTAAAAGGTAACAGCGAGAGTAGTAGTGGAATCGCTTGCGAAGCAGGCACAGGAAACGAATTCGAAGTTCACTTAACGACCGTCGTGCTGGCTTATCCGGCGGATATTAAATCCGTTCGGCGAGAAGTTTCCACCGTACAGGGTGGAAACTTACCGCGAGCCCAAGGTTTTAAGGACACGACAGGTCGACGACGCGGATTAAAGAAAATTGTCGAAAGGTGGTGGCAAAGGAAGAGGGTAGGTAAGGATCCTCCTGAGGGACGAGGAAACAACGAACGGCGAAATGGAAGAAAGGCAAAGCAAAGGCAACGGGGTTGCCTTTATATTATGCTCGGTAAAGCAACGTTACCAACTCGAGAACTGGCGAACTAGCCGACAGTAAAATCCATTTTATGTCTCCCTCGTAAAGTCAGTCAAATGAAACCCGGACTTAGTTTTCATACGTGCACCCACCCGCCATTTGCCCCGGCCAGACCAGACCCGGTTTCCTGCTACGTCACGACCTAGGGTCGTGACTGACTTTTTCGGAAGTCTAGACAAGCTGCTACCTCTTTGTCTTTTTCTAGAACGTATCATCTATATTTCTGTTCCCCTTTGCACCGATTCGATGTCAAAAAAAAAAAGTGCAAGAGATTTGAATTTAGATTTCCGAGCGATCCAAAAACGATCAGAGGAGTGACAATGAGTTTTCATGTTATATAACAAGAATAAAATATTAATATTATTGTTATAAAATATAGTTACATGTATATCCCAATTTGTTAGGTAACCGAATACATTTATGGACAGCAGATTAGATGATATACGAATGAAATTTCCGGTGTACGCAAAAATATCAACGACGAAGGAGGTAGACTAAAGCAGAAGTCTGAAAATCTTGGCGAAGCGAAACCTCCACGGTCGGCACTAAAACTTGGCCGCATCGTAAAACGTGTCCCGTCGACATACGGCTCGAAAGCATCGCGGCGATAAAGACCGGATCCGTATCCGTACAGGACTGACTTCTAAAGGATTTTCGTGGACGTCTCGAATCTCCCCTTAGAATTCTTTTTAATCGACGTTCGTGTCTGTCGATACCCTACGCGTGTCTAAAAGATGATCCTTAAAACCAATTCGTGATCAGAGATAAAGGTGCCGAAACGAAACCGTGAACCGTTCCGGCGTTAACGGCATCCGTTTAACAATACAACAACACTTTTCGAAGAACTAACCGGGAAGTTTTTGAATTATCCATCGAGGCGTAAGGAAATTGTGAAAATTATTGGAATTAAATTCAACGCTTGGAGTTTTGGAATGTGGAAGAATTTGTATGCAACGAAAGGGTTAACCCTCGGACGGCGGACCATGGAGAGTGGCCCGATTTTAATTTAATCTTGCGTTTTTTTACCTTTAGATTAATATCCCTTGTATATATTTTGTAATTTTGGGTCACGATTGACCCAGGCTCCCCTGTTCAAGGGTAGCTCCTGTGAAAGATGAAGAGCGAGTGAAAAGGAACGAAGAGCAAGTTAATGGGACTCGTAACGAGAGACTCGTAACGCTTACGCGAGACGACCCCATCAAATGTTACACATATTTAACCCATCGACATAGCTGGAAATATTATTTCCACTCGTAAAACGAACGGGCCGAATGATCGACTATTACTTTGACACCGCTTTCGGCTCAGGCAAACGATCAACAGCATTATTTCTCTCGTTTCTCCTCCAATACTACAGGCTTCTGAATATTTTGCCCTCCTTGGTCGACCGCTTTGCTCCACGATTTTACGATTCCTCTCTTTTTCATGACTTTCCAACACCACGAAACACGAAATCTTCTTCTTTCACTTTATTTATTTCTTACCGGCAATGAAATATAAGGGTGGCTTGTTTCATATCTGAGATTTGTATCTGTTTTTTTCTTTCCTGAAGCTCTATTTCTTTTTTCAAACGCTTTTCTGGTAATAAAAGATAAATTTATATGGGAATTCAAGTGTCAATCGTATACGAGCGAAAGAAGAAAAAAGAAAATCAGAGCACCCTGTATGTTTCTCAAGAAAACGTCTCCCAATAAACATTCGTCCAACGGATGATCTAGGCAGATTCCAGGCCGAGTAACTACTGCTCGGAAAGTCGTAAAGAAAGTCTAAGAAGAAGACACATCCGCGTAGCTAAAATGGAAACGGCCAACGGTGGTTTCCGTGCCCGGTGGGTGGAGATTTAACGTCCGGTGGTAAGTGCTTCGCGAGTTCTCACTTCTATCCCGTTCACCTCTTCCAGGGGTAGAAAAGACCATAAAATCAACGCGAATGCTTCGAATAATACCTATCTACCGAGCACCGTAGACAGAGATGATCTTACTTAACTTAAACACTCGCCTATTCGAAGTTAAACGACAAGCTTAGTTAAGTTAAGAGCATCTTTGGGAAGTTGGTTATTTAATTCATTCAGGGGCAGATATTAATTTTTCATGATAAGATTACAAAACGTATACATTAACCTGAACTCGTAATTTTTAAAGGGACAGTATAAAATTAAAAAAAATAAATAAATTTTGGGCTTTCTCAATGGTCCACGACCATTGAATAAGAATGGGAGATTAGGATCAGTCTCAGGATGCTTCCTAGAAAGATAATAAACCCAGTCGGCTAACTTCCATCTCCATTCTTTCATCCACCATTTCCTCGGGGATCCAGCGAATGTAACAAAAAGACAGTGCGGTATAAGGATCAACTGGACCACTTGAATTCTCGGTTTTATGTGTCCCTGGACTGGGGATTCGCGGCTCGCGGTCGATCGTCCCATAAAGAGTGCCGGCTAGGCGGTTGTAGCCGTTTAGACGAAGGAAATCGGATCGATTCCTTGAACGCGGGTGGTCATTTTCTTTCCTTTCGGTCATGGAACTCGATTATCGTCCGCAAGCAGATCAGTAGGAGGCGGAGTTTCTTTTCATTAACCAGCCGCGTATCCTTCGCTCGGATACCGGTGACTTTAACTCGGCGAAGGTAAGGTGCTCGACAGACGTCGTATTTCATAGAAGCCCGGCTATATTTTCGCGCGTATGACTTTAACTGTCGATGCGGACTTCGCTTGTATTTCTTCTCAAGTTTTACTGGCGCTAGCTCGACCGTTCCGAGCCGTAAACGTCAGGTCCCTGCGAAAGCCCCGCAACGCCCGTTTCTCAGCTTCCTTCATCTTCGTCTTCTTACGTTCCTCCAACACCCTACTCGCTATCCCGCGATATAGAAACTTAGCTCCAGGCCGAACAATCAGAGTGCTATCTTTCATGACCAAATGATAACATGTAACTATATTTCCCCAACCCCCTATGATTCTCCACTTACGCATCCTTTGATTTAGGATTTCTATGCATCCAAGCATCCTCGAATCAAGTACCTTTCATCTATGCCCGGTAGCCGGTCTCAGTTCTGAAAGAGGAACGTTTTCAAAAATTGTTGTTCCACGTAAGTAACGGTTGCCGAATCGAACAGTGGGTTTAGGGCCGACCGGAAGGCGGTACCCGCAACGTCTCGGGGCTTCATTATGGATGCAATATAGCGTGGTTTTTGCCGAGCAAACGAAAGGAGCTGGGTACGTGAGAGAGAACGCGGTCGGTCGCTTTTAAAAAAGTTACGACGAAGTTTTATGGGGGTTTAATTGTAGCCCGCGACTGTGGTTAGAAAGTAGTAAAACTCCTTTTGCCAGCAAGAATCAGGCCTGTTACACTGCTTAACGCTCTGCGGTTCTCGGTTACGTATGTAAGTGGAAGACAGGAGGATGATGATGAGGAGGCGGCCGAAGAAGAACCGGCGCGGCGTCGGCACACGCACTTAGCCGCTGCTAATTATTGCTTTGTCTTGGGAATTGCGCCTTCATTCGCAGGGAATATGGCCAACGATCGGCGTCAAGGTCAGACAGACACACTTTTGCACAACATTTATTACTTTTCCGCCCATCGACTAATTAGCTTGCAAGAATTGAATTCAATTTTCAGCATTGCTTCCTCTGATTCGTTCCGTCTTTCGAGCGTTACTCTTCAAGAAATTTAACGAATGTTCGTCTATAAAGTATTCGCAGTTAAAATGTTTATTTATTAGGTATTATCGCGGACTGTAATGAAATTTTACCTTTGTCAGTAAAAGTATTTTACATTTTATTTCCTACGTTTAACGATTGTACCTTAATTTTCACAACGTCTAAAATTTTATACGAGAAATTCAAATTTTAATTGGAATTCTTGGTATCTAACGAAACACCAGCGAATGAAATTACAGATACATGTAGGATTAAACAGAGATTCTAGACATTTAACGACATTTTGTTGTGCCGTTCATACCCGGCAGACATCG